ACCTTGAAACCGTTCTGGGGGTGCCGCTTTTGCTGCAAGGCAGGCGCTGCGATGAGAAAGCCGCGAGCAGAGACCACGCCCACTCAAGGGAAGACTAATCACATGTGCTCACGCCACCGCCAGTGGTTCCTTCGGTTACCTTCCCCACGCCAGGGACACAAAGCAAATAGCTTAAGCCAGGGTCACGGTCACCATGTCTGTGTCTGAAGGGCACGTCACAGAGAGCCACCCTGACACACAGCAGGCCTGCGAAGCAAAGGCCTTGAGATACTGGTCAGAGAGAGAGTCCGAAGCCTGCTGTGGTCCTTGGAAGTGTCTTTTATTTTGGGTCATCACTGCAGTATTTCTCCTTCCTAATTTCTGGGAGTGAGGAGAACACGGGTACCCAACTCTGTTTGCAGGAGGGCTCCACATTTGGCAGTCCACCTGCATTGTGGGTAGCTGTGATCATCGTGACACTGACACTGCCCAAGGTCATTAGATTCGGGGGCACAAACGACAGCCAATGTGCTTGGCTCTGCACTCGCCTCCTGCACCCCTTTCTGTAAACCCAACTGGAAAGGCGAGGCTTCAATAACTTGGTGACACAAAAGCACTCGTGAGAAAACAAGCTTCTCCACAATCAGACCTCCCCTTGCGACGACAAATGGGTTTACTTAAAAAGAGCAATTTGCTCTCTGGCCCCCAACAGGCTATAGCTACTCCTGTCTTTCAAAGGAAGACTCATCAGAGGGGGACGTTTACTAAAGACCGGAACAAGAAAGGCGCTCATCGACTTTCCTGAGGCCTGGGGTAGAGGTCGGGTGGAAAGACATCAAGACTGCTCTCTTCCCCTCTGCCATCTGCATATTCTGGAGGAAGAACAGGCCTGGCTTTCAGCCACACTCACACCTCACAGCAGATCAGGCCCCGTGCGTGTGGGGAGGCGGCCCCGTGCGTGTGGGGAGGCGGCCCGGGGCTGAAGTTCCACCTGGAGCAAGTTTCACTATTCTTAACAGGTAATCAATGAGTCACAGAATGGTCCAGCAGGAACTGGCAGATGATGGTCCACAGGCCAAACCTGGTCTGCCGCCTGTTTCTGTAGATAAAGCTTTATTGGAACAGTCACACCTAGGTTTTATATATAGTTGCTTTCACCCACAAAGCCGAAAATAATTACTATCTGACTGTTCATGGGGAAAGTTTGCCAACCCTGGTCTAGAATGGCAGTGTCCAGTACAGCAGCCATTAGCTGTGTGTCTGTTTAAAGTAATTAAAATGAAGCAAAATTACAAATTCGGTTCCTCAGTGGCACCGGCCGCATTGCAGGGGCCGCTGCGCTGGATGGCACCCCCATGAAGATGCCACTGTGCAGATGGCTGTCTTGGCAGCACTGGGAGCACAGGACTGAAGCAGTGGCATTCAATTTCCAGCCATCAGGTTCTAGGTGACAGGCTCTCCTTTCAGAGAGAAAGGCTAACCCCGGCTGCAGACAGACAGACCCTTAACTTGAACTGCTGAGGTACGCTGCCCACCATGTCATCTCAAACTGCAGACTAACCACTTAACAGAGAGGAACTCTCCTGCCTGGGAGTGCCCAGCAGCCTGGCCATCGCTGGCCTACAGGCACAGCTCGTTTTATCGCGTGCTCACAAACGGCAGGTCCGTGGCCAGCCGGGCAAGCTCATCGGTGCCATTTTTCCAACAGCACGTGCTCGTCTCGTATCTGTGTCAGGTTTTGGTAATTCTCACAAACACTTCAAACTTTTTCATGATGCTGCCGTGCACGTCATGACAGGAGAGTGTAAACGTAACTTTCACATGCACTGGGAAACCTGAAATCGCGTGACCAGCTTTACTGCGATACCTGCTTTCCTGCGGTGGTCTGGAACCAAACTCGTGGCATCTCCAGGTCTGCCTGCGTCTGTTCACTTGGGCGCCCCCCTTGGCCCCGGTGGGCTGCAAATCTGGAAAGGCCTGGTCGCTCTACTTACATCCCAAGTTGGGACCCTGCCTGGCTTGTGGTATGGACTCAACACATATCTATGAAATGAATCAGTGAGTGGGTCCTGAGAGCAGAGCTGCTTTAAAGAGGCCACCGACACACACAGATGGATGGTGACAGGACGCTGTGACAAACTGTTACCATGTGGTGGGATGCCCTTCCACAAACAGCCAGCGCTTCTGTTTTAAATGAGTTGTGTGTGTGTGTGTATGTGTATATACATACATACATATATATATGTGTGTGTGTGTGTGTGTGTATACACACACACAAAAGATCCTAAACAAAACCAAAGTCTGTGCTTGGATTCCGGCTCCCCCACTTCCAGCAGGTTATTGAGCCTGTGTGTGCACGACCCCTCCTCCCCGGGCCGGTCCTGAGGTGATGCCGTCACCCAGACTGCGGAGCAGGACCTGCAACCCCATGCTGCCCCCCCCAGGGTCAGCAGGTCAGTTCCCGCTCTCCCGCATCCCTCTGGCTCCAGGCTTCCAGGCTGGGTCTCCCCACCAGACCGTGAAGTCCTTGGGGCAAGGCCGGTACCTAAGCCATTGCTAGTGCTCCCCTCAGCACTGGACACTAAAACCACCACCGCAAAACTCCCTGCTACCGAGTCGATTTTGACTCATAGTGACCCCTCGTTGGGTTTTCCGAGGTGGTAAACCTTTACAGAAGCAGACTGCCCCATCTTCCTTCTTCGGTGGGCTTGAATCACCAGCCTCTGGTTAGCAGTCAGGTGCCTAAGGCACTAGGCCACCAGGCCTCCTAGAGTAAATCTTTATGGAAGCAGACTGCTCCACATTCCTTCTGTGGAGTGGCTGGTGGGTTTGAACCGCCAACCTTCTGGTTAGCACTCAGATGCCTTAGGTACTGCACCACCAGCACTCCCTACTGCCACAGTGAGCATCACATCCACTGGTGGCTACTAACTTCTGACCGTCACGCCAACCAAGATGCTAAACAAAAGTTTGCTAAACCTCACAACAGGCTTGCTCTGAAAAGCCTTGGGACGAAGCTCTCTCAAAACTCTGTAGTCAGAGGTTACTTCCTGGCTTGAAATGGAAAGAGTCAGAGGCCCTGGATGGTGACCCATTTTTGAAATTTCAAGTCTCTTTCAGGTTAGTTAATAAGGGGCTCTGGTGGTATAATGCCTAAGGCATTTAAATGCTAACCAGAAGGGAGTGGTCCAAATCCACTAGCCACTCCGCGGAAGGAAGACCGGGCAACCTATTTGCGTAAAGATTCACTGCTTCGGAAACCCAAAGCGGGTCGCTAACGATGCAGAATCGATGGCAGTGAGTTTGGATTTTTTTTTTGGTTTTTCAGGTTAATACACTCACAGCTTTTCCCTCCACAATCACAGAGTGAAACAACCGACTGCCCAACCACAGCAAAAATCCAGCCCGACCAACATAAGGTGTCAGGCTCAGAAGAAACAAAACGAAACGGAACAGCAACGTGGTGTGGGACGTAAAATCAAAGGATTCTATTTCAGAACAAATTCCACAGTTTAAAAAATGCCTAGTACATTAACAATCTAATAAAATCAGAAAACTCACCAGCTCTCCCCCCCACCAAAAAAAATCAATGTTGCATATACGAACACACCTTAGAGGAATAAAAATACACGCCTTAACGGGGAAAAAAAATCTCTTACTGCCAGCTTATTAGTCAGCGTGCAGGGACTGACTGAAACCCAAATGCAATGATATTGTCTCCTCCCCCTTGGATCCCACACCTGCTCTTTCCTGGGCGCCCTACAAGCCTGCCTTGCCTGCAGGGTGTTCACCTTCACTGGCTTCAGGCAAGAGGGCTTGCGGGCCACAGGCCCCGCTCTGTTTCGGCCCACTGGACCTTTGTGTGCGGCCCACTGGACCTTTGTGTGCGGCATCTCCCGGGGTACCCTCCAGGGTCTGAAGACGCCTGTCCGGCATTTTCAGTCATGCAGCTATCAGTCAACCAGAAACCATTTCCCCACCCCCTCCTTCACACAGGGCCTTGAAGGAGAGTGGGACAGTGAGAGGGCAGCTTTGTTAGGGCACAGCCGTGAGGGCACACATTTCAGTGGTTTGAAGCTTTCCCCAAGTATGAACAAAACACTCAAACCACAAGTATTTAAAATACCAACTGGACACAAGTCTACCACTATCTTGACAGCTATATGCCCATTAATTAATATATCTATTAACATATCTTCGGAAGGAAGGCTGGGCAATCCTACTTCCGTAGTGATACTGCCTCGGAAACCCAAGGAGGGGTCGCTATGAGTCGGGGCCGACTCGACGGCACATAACAACACAGCAACATTAATATATCTACAGGAATTGCATTTTAGGCTAAATTTTGAACACAAAATGAGTAAACTACAAACTGATGTTCTCTGAAAGTGATCTGTGCAGACAGGGAAAACTTGTTGCCATTTTAAATTCAAACGGCAACACCGGAGCCCACCTACATGAACAGCCCCTGCCACTCAGAGGAAACGCTAACACTCCTGGAAAGAGGACCCACAGTGGGCCCCATCCCTCCAAGCATGAGCCCGCCTCGCTGCTGGGCTCCGCGGTCAGAAGGCAAGCAGCCCTTTGCAAGGGAGCTCTTTGCTCCTGGACTCGGAATATTCCCTGGAATGCTGGACTCTGTGGGGGGACCTGTGTGGTCCTCAGCAACACACATGAAGCAGAAACCGTACGCCCGCCCCTCCGCACCGCACCCAATGCCTTCCCCGGGCAGTGACCTCACATCCTCTGACATCAGCGCAGCTCCGAAAGGGGGATGGGAGCGAGCCGAAAGCAGAAAAACCAGCTTCAAACGATGCCTGCAAGGCCACGCTCCCCTCTCAAATTCGGCCAGAGTTTGTAAAACGCCAGCCTGCAGCGGCACAGCCGACCGCACCGCCCGGGTCTGCAGCAAAACGGAGCGAGCCCTGCAAGCCAGGACTTCCTGCTTTTCTTCTCGGCAGCACAATAGCCATTTATTAACCGGCCGGGGAGGCGCCGATGCCAGGGCCACGAGAACTTACCTCGGATGTGTAGCAGGGCCACGGGCTGGAAGGGCCCGTTGGAGTTGGCCGCGTCCACCACCATCCTGCTGCCAGCCCTGTTACATGTCAACATCTAGACTCGAGCAGGCAGGGCAGTGTACTCCTTAAGGCAAGAAACCAGCCTCCATTTTAGTTTAAAAAAAAAAGGCAAACTGGAGCTCTCTGCAGCTGGAGGGAACTGGCCGGGAGTGATGTCAGCGGCACGGGCCGCGCCGATTGGCCGGCAGCCGCAACTTCCAATGACACTGGGGACTGAAGGGAGAGGGCGCTCTGCGCGGCTGTCAGCGAGCGCTGGCTCGGGTCCTGGCTCGGTGCTGCAGGCGCGGGTCTCGGGAACTTTTAGGCAAGACCCGGAACCCTCAGGGGACAGGGCTGGAAACAGGATTCTGAGAGACAGCAGCCGCGCCCCGCCCCGCCCCGCCCCCCTCCCCCGGAAAAAAAATAGTGTGTGTGTGAACGTGCGCGTGAACTTGAGACTTGAGCCTTCCCCGACCTGGTACCTCAAATTCAAGGGTTTCTTATACCCACCTGACCACCTCCTAGTTCCCGTTTCTAATTACCTTCACGCAAGCACCCTATTTAGCACTTTAGCACCCAGCTTTCCATCCTAAACGGCTACTCAAACATCACAATCTCAATCCATTAGTTTAGTCTCTTGTTCAAATTCCCCTGCGACCAAGTGAGGAGTTTATAATCCCCTAGTACTGATTTTTCTCAAACCTCTAATTTTTTTCTTCAGCAGATTAAGATTTAACGAAATTACACGGAGAATGGCAGTTTCTTTATAGTCAATAGTTGGAGAATGTTACAAATTACATCACACCACCTGGCTTGGGAATTTAAAAAGCATAAAAGGAAAAGTAGCATTTCGTTTTTTTGACCCTAAAGATGTCAACAAATTTGATAATTTTAAGTTTTAGATATTTTGTTTAAACTTTAAATTTTAAAGCTAAAAAATCCATTTCACTTATTCCTATACGGCTATCCTCAGAAAAGTTTAAGGTAAAAAGCTGTTCTGAGGAGAAAGGCATCATTTCTAAATGGCGTATCTTATTGAGGTGGCGGTTTGTTTTTCACAAAAAACACGATTCCCAAAAAGGTTAGTGCTAGTTCCATAGGAAAACCAGTGGAAACCCCGGCCTTTTCCACACAAACGAGAAAGCAAGTCTCTCTGCTCAAAATTCCCACACGCCCGTCTGCCCCATGTGCGGAGCAGAACCCAGAGCCCGTTAATGAGGAAACGGAATGAATGGCAGCAGAAACGCCTGAGCCCTGTGGTCGCACACTCCGTACACATCACGACCGAACCCTGGGGCCTTCAGGGTGCGTATGCACATACTTGCCCCATGAAGTCCTCCCTCACTACAAGAACGTGTCACCTGTCCTCAGGTGTCTTCGCAACAATTCCGACTCATCGATCCCGCAGGGTCCCCTGGGCTCTAACCTCCTGGGAGCTCCTGGGTGGGTATGAACCGCTGATCTTTTTAAGTGGCTGCATGCTTAACAGTTGTGCCACCAGGGCTCCCTGTGCATGATACCATTATAAATAAATAAATAGGACAGGCCACGCTCCCCCCACACCTTCCCCCAAGCACAAGAAGGGCTGCTGGAATACACCTGACCCATAAAACTCTTTATGCACAGCGAGGTGTGGGCGCCAGGAGGGCCGCTGTCCACCTGAGGACACAGTGGCACACCCACCGGCCTGACTTTGGACAGCGGAGATGACCGACAAGAGGAGAACGTGCTGTGCAACGACAACAGGACTCCGGCTCTGCCACTCACTGCAGGGCCTTCACTGCTGACCCTCTGCTTTCTTGAAAAGGGTGGTCCCACGCCCAGCGACCACACCGCGCACGGCAAGTCGGCCGATGAACCCAGTCGGTGAATGGTGGCAGAAGCAAGGCAGTCAGGGGCCTTGTGAGGATTCCACAGGCATGTCCTTAGAACACATACATTTTTTAAAATAACAGAGATCTGCCCTCAACTAATTTAATATTTAACATGAAATGTGGAAAGATGTCTGCCCTGAGATGGTGCTGATGAGAAGGAATATGGAAATCGGGGAAAGAAGGGACGCTGTCGTTAGAACACACAGACAAAATGTCAGAGAAAACGGGGACACTTTGATGTATTTTTCTTAATGATCTTGGATCAAAGGTTCTCAACTTGATGTGTGATTTTCCACGTTCTTGCGAAATGTGATGTATATAAAGCAGCTCTTGAAGGCAGTCCACGACTGTGAGCAGAACATCAGCCGGAGACGTCTTCTAAAACAGAGGCAGGCAGACAGAATGCAGGACAGACGCTTGAGGAAAGAAAGACGAGGCACGCTTCTAAGTCGGCAGCATGACTACTGTAAACACGCTCATGTTAATTTCCCTCCACATTGATTAACGGTTGAAAACAACTGCAGCAAAAATCCCAGTGGATACATCTGTTTTCTGGGCACTTGGCAAAACAATTCTAAAGTTCACCCACAAAAATAAAAAGCAAGAGGAACTAGGGCATTTCTGATGAGAAAGGTGAGTCCCACTAAGTACAAACCACGTTGATGACGGACACAGGCACAATGAACAGATGACATTGGCTTTATATGAACGTGACGGTATGTAAAAAAGAATCTCAAATCAAGGGCAGGGGAAGAACTAGTTATCAGATAACTGGCTGACTATGCTGGCACAAACAATCAATTAACTAGAGAGGAGTATGTGGGCCTTATCCTACACCAAAACAATCTATTTTTTTTTCCGAAGTTGCCAAGTTGATTCCAACTCGTGGTGACCCAAGTGTGTCAGTTTAGAACTGTGCCCCACAGGGTTTCCAACGGCTGAACGTTCAGAAGTGGACGCCAGGCTTTTCTTGGGAGGCGTCTCTGGGGTAGACTTGCCCAGTCCACTTGGTGGTTGGCAGCCAAGCACGTAAACGTCTGTACCACCCTAAGTCTTCATCTCACACCACAATAAAATCCTTAAAAAGTTAAATAAACAAATCAAAATCACATGCTCCAATTCCAACAGCTTTTAGAAGGAGTGGTGAGTATGAATTCCTGTGCCTGAGAAGGACACTTAAGAACACGGGACAGAAGGGCCTTATCCATCTCAAGAAAACCAAAACTATAAAACCCTTAAGGGAGGCTGAGCACATAGAAAGTAACACATTTTTCTAGGTTTCCTGCAAAAAACAAGCAAAAGAAAACAGAAATGCTATAAATACAAAGAACAAGTTCAAGGAACTTCACTATAATGATTAGAAAAGGCCTCAGCGTAAACACAGAGAAGCGTTCACAAAAATTGACAGCTGGTTGGTGCAAGGGAGGAGAATGCCCTTGCACCTGTGAGAACAGCAAGGACCCTGAGAGACACTTAGCTGCCAATGAACAGATCAGCCAAAAAAAAAAAAAGCCCCGAAAAACCCAAACTCACTGCTGTTGAGTCCTATCTGACTCACAGCAAGCCCTCCTTGGGTTTTCGAGGTGGTATCTCTTCTGAAGTAGACTGTCCAACCTTCTTTCCGAGGAGTGGCTGGTGGGTTTGAACCGCCAGCCTGAAAGATCAGCAGCAATCACGTGTTAAAGACTGGTAATAATAGTGGGAAAGGCAAGACAGAACCTCACGCACAAGCCTATGAACTGCCCTTATGCTTCTGTGCTTTTGGAAGGTAACTTGCAACATGGATCAAGGGTCCTTCTCTGCATCATTTGACTTCTGGGAGTCTACTGTAGAAATTAATGGGGACAGATGAGCTTTACACTGATTTATGATTCTACAATATTGGTAACTGCCCACTGTCAAGGGCAAGGCTCCACCCACTCAGCGGACTACTACATAGCCATCAATGTTTGCCAATTTACCAAATGGAAATGTAAGTAGAAAAGCCAGTGTGTGATCTTCAGAAACAGTATAGTCACAACTGTACAAAACAAAAACCAAAAATGCCCCATAGACAGGGAGGAAAAAAATCCTAAAAAATTCTCCCAAAATATCATCCGTTGTCATCACGGGGTGGTATGGCTATTTTTTTTTTTTCCTCTACCTTTCCTGTATCTTTCAATATTGCTGTAATTCGAACATACTGTTTCGAGCAAATTAACAGTAACAACCAATAACTCTTCTTTAAAAAGAGACGCTGTGTAAGTCAGAGACTCCTCAAGGACTGCTGCTGCCTTGTAGGCACAGGCCAAGAACAGAGCACAGCTGTGATGTGCATCCAGGCAATCTGACTCAAAAGATACCCCAGGACAGATGGGTAAATAAGCGCATGCCTGTGGAGACATTCAACTAACACCAGCTCCGCCAGGCCAGATAAACGGAAGCAACAGAGCAGAGGATCCGCTCAGGCCGGTCTGTCCTGCCCACCTTCCACAGGTCCCTTCCTCAGGGCGTCCCCCACGCTCACCAAAGTGGTCAGGTTCCAAGGCGCCTCCCGAGGACACTGATCACTGATGGCATAAGCACTCAGCAAGTGTGACCCGGGTGAGGCTCCTGGCACAGCCACGCCACTCACGTGAGTGGGGACATGCTTTCACCACTGCCAGGGAGGACCAGCTCCATACAGGCGGGGAAAAAGCGGCCATGAGGTCAGGAGGGCAGGGCTGGTCCCTCCGCCTGCCACTGATCCCTGCAGTTACTATGAGTACTCCCATTCCCTTAGGCTGTGGTTGGGTGTCATTGAGCGGATTTTCAATGCACGGTGACGCCACATGACAGAGGAGAACTGCCCCAGAGGCCTTCCTGGGCTATCATCTTCACTGGAGCAGACTGTCAGGTTGGGAAAGGCAAAAGCCACGTATGGAACCCATTGTCTCCGCTCGGTACGGATGGAGGACGCACTGAGCACATGCGGCCAAAGTGCTCCAGGTAGGCTGCAGGACACAGTGACACTGACCGCTCTCCAACACGGCCAGCCACCAACGGCCAGGTCTGCAAGCGGCCAGGGAAGCCACGCACAGCTGACCTGGGGCTCTGTCCCAGCGTTACGGCTGCAGCACAAGACAGCTTGCAAAGCCACACTTTGCTCCGTGACCACCACCACAACTGTGTAAGAACGGAAAGGAGCCTTGGGGATGCAGTGGTTAAAGCACTCACCTGCTAATCAAAAAGTCAGCTGCT